GGACTCCTGGAAAGGGCAGGTAATTCTGGGCAAAAGAATTCTTCAATTATTTAAAATTATGCAGCTAAAAGTCAATTTACTTCTGTGAGAAAACATAGTACTGTCTAAACTCAGATTGCTGTATTTAAATCAGTATTCTAGGCTAGTTAAAAATGAAGGCATACAGACATTCTCAAACCAAGAGTGATAAAAGAAAGTAATTCCAAAGTGATACAAATTTGGAATGAGAGGCCACTGGGAAGTCCTGCCCTTCTGAATTGCATGCTGTGAAGTCTGCTCTGTTCAATTAGTCATCTTATACTTGTTTAGGAGCCAAAACATATTGAGCTTCAGTTTGCAAAACCGATTCTTTAATTCTTAGCAAATGTCCTGTTATAACACACTAACTGGGAGTCTGCAAGTTGGGAACAGAAGAGCTTTGACGGCAGAATTGTACTGCCATCAGAAGACTGTGAAATAATTGTTCAGTGTCTTCAGGAACATGGCAAATTCTGAGAATATTGTCATCAGGACAAATGTATCTGTTTAACCTTGATTCCTTTCCATTGGTAAAAGTCATCCAGTTGGACTTCTCCTTAGCCCTGGTCTCCTTTATCTGTCCTCATGGAGGTATGCATGGCTGTGTTGTGCCTGCAAAGCTGCACATGAATTTTGTCGAATGAAATTGAATGCCTGTGAGTCTATGGTGATTCTCCTAGTTGAAAAACAGTCTATTCAAATCCTATTGGAGCACAACTTTTGCATCATATATCACCCTTGAAAATTCCAAGTGAGATGGAGCTCTGAAAGCTTTAGCTAAACGGATTTCCGAATCAAAGCATTTCCTAAAAAGTAAAACAAAAAATCCTCTTTAAACACCTTTAATGGATAAAGGAAATGTGACACACATGAAATGAAATAATATTCAGTCATAAAAAGGGTGAAATACTGTCACTGGCCACAATACAGGAGGATCTTCTACCTACACATAGAATAAGCCATGAGCAAATGGAGTCTCTCCTTTCATGGTGCCTTTGTGCTGATATAAATCATAAAACAATGTTTTGTGAAACCAGTTATTATTGTAGGCTCTCAAGTTCAGAGACATTTTCTGGGGACAATAATAACACAGGCTGTTGACGTTTTGATTCATCACTGGAGTTTGCCTCAGCATTTGGGAGTTTTTCAATCTCTAGCAGTGTTTCTTCTGAACATTTGGACTTGACTGCATAAATTACCTTTTTGGATTTAACAAAACATATTTACTATGTGTGCCATTGTGTTCTAAACTCTCTATAATGTTCAATTTTCATTAGAATTCTGTATGATTCCCTGGTATACAAGTGAGGCACTGAGTAACACTTCTAGTTATGAAGTCATTAAGAAGGGGGGGCAGGGACCAGAATTCAGGCTTTTTAACTTCCTGCCCATCACCTTCTACATCAGAGGAGAGAAATGTGCTTTTTCCCTCTTGCATTTGAGATGTGTTTGAAAATTTAGGGTTATTTACAGATTTAGAGACAGTAGGAAGTCTGCCCATCTTGGGCTGTGGCTCCCACGCTGTGGCTTCTTCTCCATTACTTTACATTTTATTGTGTGTTTAATTTACATAAATAGAATGTTCTTAACTTAGATATTTCCTTAGTCCTGCTAGAATTTCTATAAGTACCTTGAAGCAAGAAGCTGGCAAATAGGTACACTTGGGAAAAAAGTAGAAAAGAATGGTTTATTATAGATTTAAAAACTATTAGGCAAGTTTACACAGGTTGGGGATTTCCCCCTCTTTTCTGGGACTGTGTAATAGTTTAAATTAACCTCTTATAAATGCCCAATTGTATTGTAAACAATAGAATCTCTGCACAATAGGTCATAATATGTTAGAATAATAAAACTCTGGGGATAGTACTGTTTAAAACCTAGCGTATTCAATAGTTGTGTATCTCAAGGAGAAAGTGTGTAAACAAAATTACTTCTGCCTTCATATAGGTACCAACATGATTATTTCTACTTGATAATTCTCCTGTGTTATGGGAACTTTTGATTATTAAGGAGATTCTGATCTGTTTGCTACACTACAGTTCACAACCTCTGATCATTTGCAGTTAGTTCTCTCTCTAGAACTTTCACCATACTCCCAACCCCCACTGTCCTTTCTGTACCCCCAATATTTCCTAACTAGTCCAGGGTATTTCTGAAATTCAGGATTGTTACTGTTTTTTTTTTAATTAAAGGAAAACTATGGTCTCATCCTCATTTCTCTATCATTAAGGGGTGAAGTTCACTGAACACCCATGGTACACAGTTTCTTCACTGAAATTTTAATGGACTGACCGGCATGTGAAAACTAATGTCTGTCTCTCATTTTTGTGTATCTCATTTTGTGTTCCTTGCTTAGCACAGGAAACAGTAAGTACCACCAGTTCCTGGGCCTTGTTTATTTTATCTAGGAAAGAGTTCATTGCATGTGCTTAAGTATGAGCTAAACTGTGAATTGGTGTGTACTCATTTGCTAGAGCTGCCATAATAAGGCACCATACATAGATCTTGGTGGATGAAGCAATACAGAGTCATCTTACTACAATTCTGGAGACTGGAAGTGTGAGATCAAGGTGTCAGCTGTGTTGGCTTCTTCTGAGGAATCTCTTCTTGGCTTATATGTGGCCACTTTCTCTCTGTGTTGTCATAGGGTCCTCTCTTGTGAGTGTCTTAATTGCCTTGACACAAGTCATATGGATCGACATCACTCTTAATATACATGTCATTTTAACTTAATTACCTTTGTAAGGACTCTTCAAATATATTTTGAGGTACTGAGGACTAAGACTGGAACATAAGAATTTTGGGAGGACACAATTTAGCTGTAACGGCTTAAGTATATGACATAGTTATTTAAAACTTTTATGACAAGTTAAATCAATCTTGCTTAGAGCCAGTTATGTGATTTAGGGTAAGTTTTGACGTAACTCATTTTGGTCTGCACTTTCTAATTTTTGGACTAGTTGCGTTTGAAGTGCCTCTTAAATACCTCTAAGATTTTTTTTTATTCTATTTTAATAACTTTTGTCAGTAGACTTTAATGCTTACTTAGGGTAGTTCATGGAGAGGAATTTTTATAATCTTAAGCATCCTGTTTATCAGGTAGAACTCAAAAGAGCAGGGAATATGAGCAATAGACCTTGATTTGAATTCAAGCCTTTTTCTTCTGCACCAGTGCAGATTTTTTTTTTCCTTGAAGAAAATGGCAAAAAATCCTTCTCTTGGCATCTTCCCAATCTGTGGCTGGGTTGTACATCTTCCAAGAGCCTTGATTTCTTCATCTATAAAACAGGGCAGAGTAGTTGGGCTCCCTCCAGTCTTGTCCTTTGTCAGTGCTGCCCCACTGCAGATGGCCGACTCTGGGTGGCTGCTGCTGTGATAGCCTCATTCTCCACCCACTGACTTACCAGAACTCACTGTCTGAGGCACATGCCGCAGGGACCACTTGGGACTTGGGACTGGTGGAGTGGGCTGGGTTTGTATGCGTGTCTTTAGCCTCTCGTTCCATGCGACCGAGCCCCTTTGCTAGACAAATATCAGTTTGGGGAGGATGGGTTGTTTCCAAATGGTTACCATAGATTTAATTTTTTTCTATACTTGATAGCTTCAAGTAGTTATCAGGAAACTCCTCTTTTTCCTACATCTTACCTAATGGTGAAAGTTGGTTGGGCAGGGATGTAGTTTACCCTCACACTGCAGATTTTAAGATCCATAGACTTTAGTATTGATACAAATAAGTATTGGACCTTATGTCTGCTTTTTTCCATCGAGAGATATACCCACCCAGAAGACCCTGAGTTTGAGAGTGTTAAATGAAATAAAGGTGTGGGAGCAGAGGCCAGCAGCATGGCTTCCATATGCTTTGTTTTAGTTTAAATTGAGTCTGCATCCTTCATGTTGGCATTGAATGTAAGTAAATCTAGTTGTAAAATACTAAAGTGATTTTATTATTAGGTTTAACAGAACAATTGCTTTAAGCTAAGATTTTATTCCATTAAAACCCTTCTAAAAAGTTGACTGGAGAGTTCTCTGAACTTGACTAAAGTTTCCGAAGTTCTATTTGGTTACCCCATTTCAGACATTAAGGTCATAAAGGTATGATAACATTGGCAATAGTATTTGACCTGGAAAAATTCTTATAAGATCATTCATTTAACATTGCTGTTCTCCATTACCACCATCGGTACCTTCTTCTTTATGTTTATATTCATTAGAACTTTTTTAGTTTGCAAGGGAAAGTAACTTAAAGTTAAGCTGGAAGGACCACTTATTTCAATTTAAGTGGAAAATTCTAGGGGTAAAAGTATCACTAGAGGGTTTAGATCCAGGGCTGTTACAGGATACTCTCAGAGATTATCTCTCTCTCAAATGGATCTTTTCTCAGAAAACTGATCAGAAAAATGATTGCCAGGATCACTAAGGTCGTATCCTATGACTTTTAGTTGGAAAAGAAAAAGAAACCTTCTGTTTTCTTGTATCCATATATCAAATAACAAGGAAGATCTTTTTTTTGGTTCTGCCTAAGTCACAGGACCATCCTTGGAGCCATGATTGGCTGGTATGTGGAGCATTGTGGCTATCCTGGCTACGTGCCAACCACCATGGCAAAGCATTTTGATTTGCAAGCCACTGGGAGAGGGACAGTGTCCCAAAGGAAGCGTTGCTTAGCAAGCAGGGAACATGTGTCTGGGACTAGCACTTCAAATCAGCAGGAGGTTAGTGTTTCTTTAGTTTTCAGGGATTGGGAAGGTACCTATCATCAAATACTTCTGAGTCCATTTGAGTACAGTAATTTGCACTGAACATATCAAACCTGTTTGAGATGAGATAATGCCACACAGAATAGAATATACATTATAGAATAATCAAGCAGTAATAGCAGATTTGATGATTGCTAAGATTGATTTAAGTGGGTAATTTGCAGGGTGGCATAAAAGAACAGAATGGCAATAACGGAGTTCTCATTTTTTTTTTTTTTTTGGTAGGCTTAGATGACTGCCTGCAGCCATATGTCCACAAGTTTGAGCGAGAGAAGATAGATGGGGAACAGCTGCTGCGGATTTCCCACCAGGATCTGGAGGAGCTGGGAGTCACACGAATCGGACACCAGGAGCTGGTGTTGGAGGCTGTCGACCTTCTTTGTGCACTGGTTAGTTCATGAAAAGGTGATCTGTACTGCCATGACATTCTTTAGAACCACATTCTTCCAAATCCTCATTGTTTGTGATTTAGTATGGCATCATTTTCTTAATGACCCATTGAAGTGAATGTAGTTTGTGTTGAAGATAACACAAGAAGGAAAGAAAATAAATCATTTGCTAGATTAGGGCTGGCAAACTAAGACCTACAAGTTAAATCTGGCCCACTGTTTATTTTTATAAATAAAGTTTTATTGCAACATAGCCATGTTCATTCAATGATATGTAGTGGGTGACTGCTTTTGTGTTGCAGTGAGAGTTGAATAATTGTAGCAGGGACCAAGTGTTCCTCCAAACCTGAAATACTGACTCTCTTGTCCTTTATTTAAAAAATTGCCATTTACAGAAAATGGCCATAATTATTTTCTTATATTTTTTAGAGTGAAAGGATGGGGACAGTCTTGAATGAAAGTTCATGTTGTTATCTTCTAAATTAAAATGAGGACTGTTTCAGTTTTTATGTCTGTTTTTCTTACTATAAAAAGAATTTTGAGTTTTACAGATATTCATGCTGTTTAAATAACTGATGTTTGTGCTTGAGACAATCAATGTAAGAAATGGCAGCTAGATGGGAAAAAATGTGACCTTTATTATATTTTGCAGATGCTTAGGCTTTGGCTATAAATGAGTGACTTAAATTCTGCCTGGTCCTGGGGCTTCAGTTACACCTGAGGGTGCCTGGGTAGTTCCTTTAGGTGTGGACTAGAACATCTGTAAGGACATTTTGTTTACAAATGGGTTGGCATGAGTGGGATTCATGTTTAGCTGTCATGCTGCCAGCCGCTAAGGATGCAGTTGGACCGTTGGGATTTAGACATATTTGCCAGCATTCAAATTGGGTTAGTAATGCTCCGGAGCCGAGCCAGAGGTATATACAATTACATCTCTGAGAATGGTGGGAAAGGACATGCTTGCAATGGTTTTGTCATTGCTGGTCTGCATTCTGTCCATTATATAACACTTGCCACATTGTGTATGTTCTTCTTCTTAAAATGGACAGAGCCTTGTCTTGTGTGCTGAGATGCACTGCTCTTGTTTAGGAAAGTAATGGGGAAATTATTTGTGGTTGATAAATGAGCTGCCACAGGGGAGACACGATGGCCAAGTGGTCTTAGTGTTGGCCTGGGAGGCAGGATTTTTACATTCAAATCCTGGCTCTGCTCCATGCTACTGCCTCTGTGACCTCCCAGGAAACAGTGGTGTCTGTTTTCCCCATCTGTACAGTGATACTCACCTTAGATGGGGCTGCGTTCTCATGTGTAAGTGTTTTGTGCTGCTAGGGACATGAACTGTCCATCCTGTTTATTATTAAAACTTTTTTTTAAGTCCAACATGTTTGGGTTTACTTTTGTTAGACTTTCTGGGAACATGGCGTTTCAGTCTTTTCTGCAAGATGCTCTGTGCGTTGGAATTGTCACTTTAAATTGGCAGCAATACTTTGAGGGCAAGTAAATTACTGTGAAATCCATAGTCTGAGAGATGGGGAGAAAGGGTGTATGAGAGGCACATTGTATACACTGGGGAGCACAGCAGCTGCCTCTGGGCAATCTTCTCTCGATCCTCTTCCCCTACCTCTGAAAATATTAGACTAAAATGAATAAAGCTGGACAAATGCCAGAACCTCAAGCTGTGTTTTATCTCCTACAATTTCCTTCTAATTTCCTCTGCAGACCAGGCTTTGACCTCAGTCTCATTCTGAACCTGCTCTGCGCAGCCAAGGGGCCCAGGCTGCTTTAGACAGGAAGGTCCCTGGAGGATGGCACACTGCTGTGCCTCTTCTGGGCGGGGAGAGTTTTAGTAGTTCTACTAAACTATTTCTAGCCTTCAAATAACCTTCTTTTCAAATGCTATTATTGTAATCTACAAGTTAATTATCCTATCTGTTTAATCCAGTTCCACATAGATCTTTGGCTTTATAAATTAGTGATAATGTTTTGCTATGAATAGTTCATCTCCTAGGCTGTTAATGTGTAACTGTAGTTGGGCCTGGTGTTGTAAAAAAGAGGTTTCTATGTAAACTAAGTTTAGTGCATGTTGATTTTATGATGGACAGGAAATGAATAGGAGAGAGGAAGAAACAAAACCACTGGAAAATTTCGAGCAAAAAGAAGGACAGGTAGAATGGATAGGGACCTAAAATAGGGAACAGCTATTGCTCAGTATTTTATAGCTGGTAAACAATGGCCCATAAACAGCTGGTCATGATGAGACTGCAAGGGAAGAGACTGCCTTTTGTGAACATTGACCCTGCTGGCAGGAGTGACTCAGGAGAGTGATGTATTTTGTGGCTGTTTAAATAAAAATGAACTCCTCAGTTGTACCAGCTACACTGCAAGTGCTCAGTAGTCACGTGTGACTAGTGGCCATTACATTGGACCACTGATCTTTCCCATCACTGCAGAAAACTCTCTTGGACAGCACTGGTTGAGAGTGTGGTGGATAGCAAGAAAGCATAATGGTGACCTGGGTACTTGGCCTAGTCGATCAAGCCCTGGTGTTCTGAAGACCAAGGAGGGATAGCTGTGCTTTTAAAGTTGAAATAGGCTGAAAGTGAATGAAATTGGAATCCCTTTAGGTGTCATGTGGGTGCCACCTAATTTATGATTAAATGAATTACCTGTAGTGAACCTGTCTGCATATGTGCTCATGTATGCTGCCACGCCCCAAATGATGTTATTCGTCATTCACCTGTGGCAAATCATTGAAGGGTTTTTTCTTTCTCTCCCTTTATCAGTGGAGAAATACCATTCTGAGTAGGAATCTTTGCCAAGAATTTGTATTTAATTTGACCTTGCTTAGGAGCTTATAATATGCCTCTAGGAAAACTGAATTATATTTCTTAGCTTGTCAGTTAATTGACCTACGTCAGTAAAATGGCTTTGCTTGGATGTCTCTGACAACTCTTTCTCATGTATGTTAGGTCATGAACAGAGCCAGAGAAGTGAATCTGGTTGCTTTCTTTTCCTCTTGGAAAGTGTATTGTTTCCCAGCCAGATCAGGGAATGTTTCATTTAGTGAACTGTGATCTTGGTGGTGGTAGTAGTGGTGTTCCTGCTGCTTCTGTTACTTCTGCTCCTGCTTCTTTTTCTTCTGCTTCTGCTTCTGTTTCCTCGCCTTCATCTTCATCTTCCTCAGGGCCTTTTTCACACTCCGCCACTGAGCAGCACCTGCAGCCTAGGCAATATCTTCTTAATGCATATATTAAATCAATGTCAGGAAGAGATGGGTTTTAGGGAGAAGATTAATGAAAATAATGAAATCTAGTCTGAGAAATTATCATTTTCCATCTTTTATTGTGGGACACTGAAGCCAGTAATCCTTTCCTAATTATATTCTACAGCAGAGGTTCTTTTGAGCTAATGTAATTAGTTTTTTATTCTCTCTATTGTGGAGTGGAGTCAAGGGGGAAGGAAATATCCTCCTTCCTTCCTTCTTTAAAAAAATACTCAGTTTTAACTACCTTTTTCCAGTTCCATAATTTGTTTTGGAAAAAAAAAAAAAGTAACCAGAGCAAATTGAGTGGGAAATGGAGAAAACCAGTTAAAGAAGCTACTCTTCCGCCTTATTTTAGTATTAAAAGTGATGGATTTGTTGAAGATGGAGGTCTAAAATTTCTTGCAGGAATAAAATATTTAATCCTTTTTATGTTCAAGGAGTAAATGTTGTATATAGAAATAAAAGTTCCAAGTAATATGTGGCGGCACTGATTGTATAATACAACTTCCCTACTTTTAGTGAATACTCTTGATATAAGTTGCCAACTGAGTAAATGAGGGGATATTTCCCTCTAATCATAGTCCCGAGTCCTTCAAAACAAGCTGTGTCTTGTGGGTTTTTGTCCATTCACTTGTGAGTCTTTGATTCTTTGAATTTAAGAAGCCACGATTAAAATCTATCTTTTTGGTGTATTCTTTTTTTTAAAATTTTTTTTAATTTAATTTTTTGGTGTATGCTTTATTGAAGGGATATACTATATTTTAGTCTGTAAAAAATAACAGTGAAGGAAAAATTAATTAATGTAAGATTTAGATAGAACATCCCTGTTAATATTTAATGTATTTTGAAATTTATGGTTCCTTTAAAGCTTATAAAAGACTGCTTTCAGTTAGTTTGTACTTAGGTCTTTTCAACATTTCTCTCTGAACTTTTAAAGTTTTTTTTTCCTTTAGTAATGAACACCATAAATTTGAACTTCAAATAAAATCTATTTAAAATTAAAATTTTCTCATTAATACCAAAGCTTTTTTGTTAACATTGTTCATCTTGTTAAAAAAAAAAAAAGGTTCTTATGAACTTCTAAATATATTTACCCTTTCTTGATTTCTAAATGCGGCCCCTTTTTGGCCTAGATGGCTAGCTGGATAGAACTGACCAAATGAAGCTTCTGACATTGGAAAGGAGAGAGCATGTCAGGATTTGGAGGAGTTACACAGCATGTTAGTTTGTACTAGTTCTAGGATCACTGATCAGTTTTCCTTATTCTTGTCTAATGTCTTTCATTTTTACAATCCAATCACTTGGCCCTTTCTCAGGAAGGGCAGAGGAAAGGGGAGGGGGGTCATACAACATATTGATCCAGAGTTATTGTTGGATGCTGATTGCCTTGAATAGAATCCTTACAATGCTACTGATTAGCTGTATAACTTCGGGGAATTTATAGTTTCTTTACCTGTGAAACAGAAATAAGGTTGAATGTCCTTCATCTGAAAATCATAAATCTAAACTACTCCAAAACCCAAAATATTTTCAGAGCCATCATAATATTACAAGTGAAAAGCTCCATATCTGACCTTGTGGGACAGAGCACAAGCAAAACACAGGCACACTGACTGTATCGAGTAGATACCAAACGTGGCGGCAGAAGCCTATAGTTCCAGAGCTCTGGGAGGCTGAGGCAAGAGGACTGCAAGTTCAAGCCAAGCCTGTGTAGCTTAATGAGTCCCCTGTCTCAAGGGATTTAAAAAAGGTCTGGGGTTATAGTAGCTCGGTGCAAAGGCCCTGCTTACGATCTCTTGTACCACCAACAAACAAACATATACAAACTACCTTCAGGCTATGTGTATATGAAACAAAAATGAATTTTGTGTTTATATTTGGGTCTTGTATGTGCAGATATTTCAAAATCTGAAACACCTCTGTTCACAGACATTTTGCATAAGGGACACTCAATCTGTAGTAACATTTGTACCTTCATGGGTGGTTTCCTTGAGATTAACATGTGTTGAGTACTTAACTCAGTTCCTGGCATAGAGTAAGTGTTCAATAATGTCACCTATTATATTATTCCTAGTTTTTAAAATGGTTCTAGGTTCTTACTTTGGGATACTAGTGAAATAGTGTATTATACCCCCAGAAATATCTTCCCTTCTATTGAAATATTGGACACCAATTTAGGATATGTATATATAATTGAACACAAAAATTTATACCCTTTATAAGTTGTTTCCTGGGATTGGTTCTTAATCTGAGAGTATAGGTCAGTGATAGCGAACCTTTTAGGACTTTCAGTGATAACAAACAGCCTACTTCGGCACCATAGTTTCACCATCACTGGCTTAGGGCAGTATTGTGATGTGAAGTTGATGTTTTTAATGCACTCAAGTAAGTTGAATGCTGTTTAAAAAAAATAAAAAAACTGGTATCAGAAGCTTCAGAGAGAGGAATTACATTTCAGGTAACTGAGTTTTAGCCCTTGTGGCTCTTTTCTGTGAGTGTCATTTAAGGGGACTTTATATATTTGCTGACTGTGACATATTTGCCTGCTGAGCTGTAAACTGTGAGCAACACACAGAGCCCGATTCTTGCAGACTTTGCATCCCAAGGGAGAAGGCAGCAGCGAGCACTGTGATCCTGAGAGGGGCAGAAGTCAGTAGTGTGCTGGACAGTGGCTTTAGGGCCTGTTTCTGCTTCCAGGGGGATGTGTGGCAGCATTGGGAATCAGTTTTGGTTGTCCTAACTGGGGAGAAGATGCTGCTTAGCATGGGTAGAACCGGGGGTGCCACTGAAAATCTTGCAGTACACAGGAACCCCACCCCCAAAACAGAGTTATCCAACCCACATGCCACTGAAGCCCGAGTTGAGAAAGCCTGCTGTTGATTAAGTGGTCACTAATCCTCCCAGAAAATAGGAAGAGACGTTAGGGCCAGCACCTGAGTGATAAGACTTGTTGTCCATGCCAAGATCTGTGCAAAGAGAATTTGGGGAAGAGGAAACAGCAAGATCAAATTCCCTGAGAGTCAGGAGTGAGCTGCGGGAGGAGCAGAGGGGAAGCCAGTATGGTAGTGGTCATGGTGGGGATGGGGGAAAGTGAGCCCTGGGTGGATCATGCAGGAGTTTTTGGTGGCTTCCAGGAGTTATTCCAGTTACCCAATGTGCTCTTGAGTCATTAGGAGAGTTTGGACCTTGTTGATTGTTTTGAATTTTTCCCTTTTCTGACAGAATTATGGCCTTGAAACCGATAACATGAAGAATTTGGTTTTGAAACTGCGGGCATCTTCCAACAATTTACAGAATCACATAAGTAGCCGGCGGAAAAGTCCAGCTTATGATGGGAACACGTCCCACAAGCCCCCCAATGAGCTCCTGACTTCAGTGGTGGAGCTCATAGGTGCTGCCAAGGCTTTGCTGGCTTGGCTGGACCGGTGAGTAGCCCATATGCCTTTTACTGTGTACTGTGAGCAGGATCTGAGATGTACCGAGGCCAGTCGTGTGTGTTAAGAAAACAAGCCATTGTTCCTTTCACTGCTTTTCACTGGGACTCAGGAATCCTGGATCAGAAGTGGCTTTTAGGGTTCCTGTGGACATTACTTAAAAGGTTAATAAGGAGAAGAGTTTAACCTCAGTTTAGAAAAGAGTGAAACTGTGCTAAAGGTTACGTGCTACTTAGATTAAACATTAATGGTTGAGTATTGGTTGGTATGAAGGCTATTAGTTCGCTTCTGAAGGGACAGTAACTCTCAGTTCCTTTTTGGATGTGTTTTTATCTAGCACTTCTCTGTCCCTTTCCTATTCAGATTCCTATCTGATGTTTTACTTGAGACAAAATAAGAGTGTGAAAAGTGATTTCAAACTAGCCTATTGTGTACCTATGCCTGCCAACAACCAGTGTTGGATCCTGGTAGATTATATATATATATTTTTTTTTTTGTTACTTTCCAGGGCTCCATTTACAGGGATCACTGATTTCTCTGTAACGAAGAATAAAATCATTCAGCTTTGCTTAGACCTGACCACTACAGTCCAGAAGGTCAGTAGTAAATCATTATGGGTTTCTAAAATTGTCTTTTCCCTGTTTTTCTTCAAAAGATTTCCATGCAGGTATGCAGTGCCCCCACTCCACGTTTTTTCCTCAGAATTGGGGAGAGATGAAAGCCTTTAACTTAGATGCATTGTACAGATAACTTCTGTGAAAAATGACAAGTGACCTTTGAATCAAGAGTTTATCTTCTTTTGTTTAAAATAGTTGAGCTTTCTTGTACTTCCTGTCAAGTGTTAGAGCTTAACTTAAGTAGAAATGCTTACTGTAATCTTTATTCTCAGTACTTTATTAAATGTGTTGATTCTGGCCTTTCATTCTGACGTCTGGTTGTTGGATTTACCAGCCAGGATGGGCTAAGTTGTGAGGCAATAACAACTCCCCTACCCCAACAGTTTATTTCTCCATTATTTATATCCAAATGGGCAGCTGGAAGACATGGTCTCATTCTCCTCATTTCAGAACATAGGCTGGCAGAATGGCTGGTATCTCATGTTGTTTGCCCTCATGACAGAGAGAAGAACTTTGCAGTTTCCCACATCGATGTATCTCCTTATCTGGAAGTGACACATGTCAGTTTCACTCATGGCTCATTATCCAGTTCTAGGTATCTTAGCAAGGGCCCAGGAAATTTTGTGTCTGTCTAACTTGCCTAGCTTCTGTGTTCTTAACAAAACAATTATTAGTCTGTGAGCATTGCAGACCATCTCCTCTAATATTACTTGGCATCTCAGACACTTATGCATTATTTTTTAATTAAATCAAGGTTTTCAAATATAAGGAGGAACCTTTTTCCTTCATATCATAGTTGATTCTAAAATTCTGTGATTCAGGGTTTGTTTCCACTGCTCATTTGGAAAAAATAAAGAACATCGTTCCCTCACTCCTGATTGTGGTGTGACAGAGATGCAGTTGTGGGAAGCTGTTGTCTCTCTTTTTGTCCAGAAGATGAAGAATTAAGCTTGGCTTTGTCCATGGCAAGTGTTTGAGATCCAGTACGGAGCAGCCATTGAACTTCAGGCAGTTAGTTTTGGGACCAAGGTCTGAGAAAGGTTCCCAGGGCTATTAAATGGTTTGCTCCTTTTTATGATGCAGAAGGTAACTTTGACAGAATCTTGGTAGTAGCTGTGACACATGGGTCATACAGTCTCAGAGGCCCAACATTGGTGGTGGAAGGCATTTTCCTGATACCTTCTTTGAGTGTTCTTTTTCTTCCTGCTTTCCTTTTCCTATAGTATTTTGCTGCTTCTTTTGATGTTTAGCCAATTTCACATGCCATCAGCTAAATTAAAGTGTTAAAAGCTAAACATAGTAATTAGCAAGTGGGTACATTTTTCTCCTGGGTACACCTGTGCTTTTTTGTGAAGGGTCCTAGGTCATGTGTCTGACTCAGGCTGTCTGTGCTTTGGGGTAAGCAGAGGCAGGAAAGTGACAAAGCAGAGGGCGGAGTAGTTACATTTGTCCTCATAGAGTGAGTCTGCTTCTGCTTTGACTAAGCAGGTTGATTTTAACTTTGCAGGTAGTTGGATAGTTCCTTCAATATTTATTTGACTCTTACTCTGTCTGCCACTATTCTAGGCACAGGTGCCAGAGTAAAGAATCAGATTAAAAAAAAAATCCGATTCATGGTGTCTACAGTCTCTGAGGAAATAACTAAACTAAGAACTAAAATAAGGAAAATTGCACATGTGCAGAAACCTACACACATGTTCTGTGTACAAGCAGTTATATAACATTACAGGAGCACTAAGGTGGGAAGGGGTAGTGGAAGGTTGGAAGTGGAATATAATTGTGACAGTTGGGAAGGTGACAATTGAGTACTTGGACCAGTTCAGTTCTCTTCTCACTGAGATGGGTGAGCTAATGCATCACCTTAAGCAATCCTTTCTGTGTGGTTGTAGAGTTTTGATCATTGTAAACTGGTGATTAAAAAAAAGTTTTCTCATGGGAGGGGCAGACCCTGATCTGGTCACAGCAGGAAGGTTCCTGCTGAGTACTCATACTTGTCCCTGCTTCTTGGTGGCTCACAATACCTGGTTCATGGTGCACATTATATAACGTGTATTTCAAGGACTGAGATTTTAAATTTGAAGAATTTTAAAGAATGAAGCCTGAAAATAAGAAAATATGTATGGGGACATTGTTTTATGAATTTAGACTCAGGAGGATGTTTAGCTCTTGAACAGTTTTTGTTTTTATAATGATGGAAGAACATGGGTTCTTAGAAGTTCTCCAAGGTCGGCTTTATTATCATCTTATCTTACACAGAAGGAAATAGAGGAGCAGAAGTACTAAACATATTGCCCAAGGTCTCAGTTCCTAAGAAGGTACAATAAGGAGTGGAGGCTGGGGGCAGGAGAGACCAGCCAGGGCAATATCCCTGGCTGCCCAGTTAGACCCTGTCTGCCAATCCAGGTGACCTGGGATGGTAATGAAACTCTGCCTCACTGTCTGACTCATGAGGGGGTGATTTGTTCCAGTACTTCTTTTTCCATTCTATTGCTTACATGCCAAATGCTCTGAAGTCACCCTGTAGCTGTTTCCTCTCAGTGGGGATGGGTGTGGGAACCCACGTTCACCATGGGGGAAGGTGGAAAGACAACCCTTTTGTACGCAATCAAGAAGTTGGGAGGCAAACTTGTGCCTGTAGGCTCAGTCACCACAACAGTGGGCCTGTTTTCTTGGCTTCTTGGATCTGTCAGAAACTTCAAGTACTGGAAACTGACCCTGACCCTTGGGCCCTAGTGTATTGAGAAGAATTCTCTGCCTTTGGGTGACAGCCATCAAGAATGACAGTGCTGATATCATTTTGTGGTTTGTAATGAAAGGTCATGGACACAAATTATGCATTATATTTCTACCATATGAATATATAGTTTTTCAGGAATTGATACATGATAGTCAATGGTAATAGGGAATAAACTATTATAGTAGTTGATAGTTGAGTTTCAGGCATAAGACAGGGCAGAAAGGCACATATTTGACCAATAATTATTCATATTTTACATAATTGTTTTTGGAGTTTGGATTTACATCAAATTCACATATGACAAAATTGCCAAAAGGAAATTTCTCAGTTTCTTTTTATTTATTTTTTTCTCCCTAAGCTACTCTTAAGAAGCAGGTATCAATTTTGGGAGCAGCTACTATTTTCTACACTTTTATGTAATAGAGAAAATTAAAAAATTAAAATAGTGAAAGTCTGATGATTAATTCTCTTAAGGTACAAGTTGGTAGCTAACCCATTCCCTCTGACGGTAATAGTTAAACAAAGACCTCACATGACCTTTCATTTCAACAGAGGTAGTATTTTTCATGTACCTAAAATTGTTATTATTATCCTCAAGATGGTATTTAACAGTGCAGGATAAACTCTAAAGAGACTCCTCTGGCTTGCTTTTCTTCTGCACACACCCTGCAGTGTGGGTTGAAATCCACTGCTGTGGATAATTCTAGAAGGTTAGCCGTGAGTATTTCACATTGGTAGTTTCACTTTGGTTCCTTCTGGACAGGACCGTGGTTATTTCTATGATCAGCTAACTGTTGTACTATGTACTGTGTCCTGGGTCTTTTGTTCTGGAGCTGAGTAAATAAAGCTTTGCATTCCAGCCCTTTGTGTCAATAGCATACCTCAAGACCACTTTTTTGGCAGAGTCTCAATGAATGTTTTGTTAAACTTTTTTCATCTACCAAAGACTGAAATATCTGATTTAATCTCAGTGGTGCTTAAAATAAACTTTTGTGGCTGAGTTTGCTCAAGTCCTTGTTGGAAAGCTCTTCTTATAAGGCAGGCCAGAGCATAGGGAAGCTGACTGGTTAGGCTGCTGTTAGCTTAGCTTGGGCCATACTGGGAGCCATTACCAGGTTTCTTGGACTTGGAATTCTGACTTAGTATTCTTTGGACAGTCTAGACAGTATGTGGATCTCTGTTCGTTGATTTTTGAAGTTTTTAAATTAAATAATTGGCCACATGGGTTACTTGAGTGATAAGCTCCTTAGTCAGGGGAGAGTAGGACTTTAGGAAAAGACAGATGTGAGCTTCATTCTCTTTCTGTCCCTCCCTCCTCTCCAGTCAGGAAGGATGCTGGAGCTGAGGGATGGGCAGGGTGTACGTCAGGGACCTCATGAGCTCCTGGAAAAGTGTGCAAGGATAAGCCACTAGTTTTTAAGTTTTTACTCTCTCAATTTCCATTTTCTTTTTTTCTTTAGGATTGCCTTGTAGCAGAAATGGAGGATAAAGTTTTGTCTGTAGTAAGTATGCTTTCTGAAAGTTGTAAAATTCCTTTTCCAAAGGCAATGGGAATCATATTAAAGTAAATGCACTATGGCTAATTACTTTGCAGTATAATTTTAAATATTTGCTTTTATGAGTTTATTAATTTAGGTAAAAGGGGAAGAACAAAATTATGTAGTAAGACCAAGAATTAGAAGAATTCCAGAGCTTAAATTAGCTTTATTGAGGTTTCTGGTTTTGTTTGCTTTGTTTTTTGTTTATCTTCTGAACAGTTCATCAGGGTACAATTGTACATAAATTGCTAGCTTAGCCTGCTAATCAGGGTTAAACTGATTTGCAGATTTAACTTTAGGACCATTTTGATAAAAAAAAAAAAAACTTGGCAAAATCTTTATGATGTGGGAGAAGGGGGTGTACCATAGCTGTTTAAAGAGAATTTTGAAACTATTCATCAGCACTTCCTCCTTTTGACATAAGCCAGCCTGGGCTCTTTTGATAAGGTCTTCCTCCTACTGATGTTGAGGAATTTAGCAATGAAATTGCTATAAATATATTTTCCATAAATAGGCTAAACAAATTGGAGGAATGTAAAAAGTGTAATTTCTTGGATTCTCCCTTTTAGGAAAAAAAAAATCACTCTTTGGAATTTCCTGATTTCATTGGGTATTTAGGTTTGAAAGGTTAGATCAAATATCACCATGGCTTTTACACAGAGACTTCGTAATAGGTACCCAATCTTATATATGTAGTGTTTTGCCTTGTTGGTGTTTGACATTCAGAAAATACGAACTATCACTAAAATGATCATAGACATAAATGCAAAATGAGAGCTTCACATCTTATGAGAGATATTATAGGAACAGATTTAGGTAGCCTTGGTAGTGAGATTTTAGATAAAAAAGCAAAAGCACAATTAGTAAGAAAAATAGATAATATAGATGTCATTCAAATTAAAAACTTCTGAAACAAAGTCTTTGTAGATAGGAAGGGGTGTAGGGGTTGAAGGGAGGGCAGGGGAATGGGGGAAAAATAAGAACCAAAATCGATTATGTAAAGGTGCAAATTTGCAATGATGAATGTCATTATATGTTATACCGTAAATATCCCAATAAAATTAATTAATTAAAAAAAACTTTGCTTGGGGAAATGCAGTGTGAAGAGATGAAATGACAAGCCACAGACGGGGAGAAATAATTTTAAAACCTATTTTATCATAGATCAGATAAAGACTTATATCCAAAATAACAAAGAACTCTTAAAAATAAGAAGACCATCTAATTAAGAAGGGAGGGCAGAGGTAAGGGGAAAAAATGAGAATCAAGACTTGTCATGTAGAGGTACAAGATCCCAACAATGAATGTAACTGTACTGTATCCCTAAAATGTACCAATAAACTCAATTAAAGCTGAAAAAAAAAAAAGAAGTGGACAAAAGATCTGAACAGTCACCCTACCAAAGAAGACACACAAATGACAAGTAGGCACATGAAAAGTGGTCAACATCATTTGTAATTAAGGAGTTGCAAGTTTGAAGGATGAGATGACATTTTATACCATTGAAATGGCTAAGATTCAAAACATTGACAACACAAAGTGCTGGTGAGGATATGGAGCAGTGGTCACTCTCACTGCTGGGAACACAAAATGGTACAGACAGGCTAGAGGACAGTTTGGCAGTTTCTTGTCAAGCTAAACATGTTCTGATCATACCATCCACCAGTTGCATTCCATTGTATGTACCCAGAAAAGTTAAAAATTTATAACCACAGAAATTTACACTGAATTGCACAGAACGTTTATAGCAGCTTTATTCATAATTCCCCCCAAATTGAAAGCAACCACCATATCATCTTCTAGGTGAATGGATAGAAAAATATGTCACACCTGTAAAATAGAATATTATTCAGCAATAAAAAGAACTATAGAGTCATGAGATAATACAGAGGAAGTTTCAGCGCATATTGTTAGTTATAGTAAGCCAACTGAAAAGACTACATGCTGTCTAATTCCAACTCTTTGAAATTCTGTTTGCCAGGGGTTCATGGTGAGGAAGTGGGAGGTGGATAATTAGGCTAAGGAGAGGGGATATTTAGGGCAGTGAAAGTCTACATAATACAGTAATGTTGGATACATAACGTTAAGTATTTGGCAAAACCCATAGACTTATACACCACAAAGAGTGGGCACTAATGTAAATGACAGACTTTAGTTAACCCTTTGGAGGTCATGGCTGATGTGAGAGATACAAACTCTTCTTACATATTGTTATGGGTAACATCTGATCTGTCACCTTTGCAGGCTTAATAAAAGTGTCTCATTATTATCAGTTGTGACAAAGGTGCCGTGATAAAGATGTTAATAGTTGAAGAAGAGGGCTGGGGAGAGGGACTATATGGAAACACAATATACGTGCTCACGTTTTCTGTAAATCCAAAATTATTTAAAAATAATTATTTAAAAATATGTTTCAGAGCCCCTAAATATTTTTTTTTTTACATTGTTAATATCTGGTATTCAGGGAATCTAAGACATTTGGTTGTCTGGAAATAGATGATTCCCCTTAACAGCAGAAAAGGAGTTTCTCCTGGCTTATACTCTTCAGTGGTTGTAAAGGAGTTAATATAAAAGCCAGTTTTTAAAGCCAAACTAGAGGCACCGTTCCCAATTTTGCAAATAAGGACAAGTGCTTTTCGTTCATTGAGCCAGCATTATCAAAATGATTGCTGACCAGAGCTAAAGATTTTAAGTGAAGTGCATGTTTTAAAAACCCAGCTTGAGATAAACCTGATTTACAGTTGCACTCTTCCGACTATTTTCTTCTCCAAATCCAGGTCAAGGTTTTAAATAGCATCTGTGACAAAACAATTCGATCTGCTACAGACCCTGTTATGAGCCAGTGTGCGTGCCTGGAGGAGGTTCACTTACCTAATGTTAAACCTGGCGAAGGCTTGGTAAGAGTTGTAATACTTGTTTTATTTTTCAAATAATACATACCAGCATTTACTAGTTTTCTTTAAGCATTTCTTGCTGCTTTCACTGTAATTCTAAATACCAGAATTAAATTAGATTATCATCCATTATATAGTTAGGAATTTGCTATCTTAAACTCTGTTGATATGTTTTTATCTTCAGAGTATAAAAATAAATACAATTTAAAAGCTGTGTGCTCCTATCTTAATGGTTTTATTTTTAGGAGTTAGTAATGCAAGGAAATATGAAACATTTACACAAAGAAGAGATGGTCTCTGGGTACGAAAACACATCTGTTCTCAAAGTGTCTATTAGCACTTACGATGAACGTGAGAAGAGGCTGTGGAAGGAAACAATTCCTAAAAAAACTTTCAAAGTGTCTCCTAAGTCGTGTATAAGATACGGCTCTGAGAATACATACGTGTGATTTCCCAGTTTACAGTTCATATCCCACAGGATTAATCTGGAATTTAAACAACAATGGGGCCCATTGAATTAGCTTCGAGCCTTTGAGTCAGAGAGAGCTTACATGTCAGTTTCTTCCTACGACTGTTGAAAGGATTAAATTTATGGTGAATGGCAAATCCCCAGTGCTGAAAGCATAGAGCATGTTCATTAATTAGTGTCAGTAGCTAGTGTTACTTGTATTGATGGGGACGGTGGGGAGGAGGAAGAAGAGGAGGGCAAAAATGCCCCGTGTATAGACAGCCATGGACGACAATGAGGCAGTCTCTGCTCTTTGATAAGAAAACAAAAGCTGGACCTGATGGCACAGACCTTTAATCCTAGAACTCTGGAAGGCTGAGGAAGGAGGATTGGAAGTTTGAGCCCAGCCTTGGCAATTTAGCAAGACCTTGCCTGGAAATTAAAGAAAAAAAAGGTCAATAAACTCAAATTCTTAGTGAGCAGAATCTATATACAATACTTAGTTTTGAAGTAAGTGATGGATTTATAACAGAGTGAACAGGGAGGGATTCCTGAAAGTGAGATTATGGGTAAGTATGGAAGAAAGTATGGATGCCCAAATTGCAGTCATAATGAATTGCCCTTTCCCATTCTGCAAGCCGTGGCCTGGGAAGAGGCTCCTGCTATGTGTGGGGAACTCACAGTTCTGCAGATAAAGGTAACCATTTGAGAGGAGTGGGGAGAACCTTGAGGGCCTACATGTCTGATGAGATTCTCTTCATAGAGTGATTTAGGTTGCTGAGCAGGGAAAGTTCAGGATCAAAATGACTTTAATAGTATTACAGATACTGGGGTAAACTACTATATTTCTCCTTGTCTTCTTATTTTTTTCTCTTTTCCCAGATTATAGTAGCTTAATGAAAATATTTTACACATGAATTGTCCAACTGCAGGAATATTTCCTGGATGGTACAGTATTCAAACTCTGATTTAGCACACAGGCCTTTGAGAAGGAACCTGCTCATCCTTTGGATTCACTGAAAATGGAGCAGTGCCTGTTCTAATTTGCTACCTGTACTGTGTTATACAGCAGTGTTCACTTGTACATCCCAGTCTACATTACTCTCGGCTTAAATAAATGGCCCAACAATTACTGCTGATACCAAATTTAACTGACTTTGTCTCTGGACAAAGAGATGGTCGGGAAAGAGGAGTCCTTGTTTGAAATGCCTCCTTGCTCATTGAGCAGGTCTGAGAAAATTCCTACATCCTAAAGAGTAGTGGCAAATTTCTATGTGTAAATTATAATATCAAAGAGATCTCCCATCTGATTTCTTTCACTCGGCTTTCGATTTGTTTTGTTCTCCCTCACTGCCCTCTGGCTCTTATTTCATGTGTGTTTCAGGAGGCTTAAAAATGAGCATTGTTCTGAAGGGACTGTATTTAATGTTTAATAAGTTTAAGTCTCATGGCTCCTCTCTCCACATGGATTACTGAGTTAATGTATTTGTGATTCATTCTAGGGCATGTACATCAAATCAACATATGATGGATTGCACGTGATTACAGGAACCACAGAAAATGTAAGTATATCCTCTAAATGTACAAGCTAATGTGTATCTAAACAAATTTGACACAGGCCTTTTCATTTAAATGTGTGCATGCTGTCATCTGTAGTGAGAGCTGGCGTGGGTGCCTGTTTTGTCTGTTGATATACTACAATACTGCTTATCACCAGCTGTTGTCAATTTATTATTTAAATTGTCTTTTATTGGCCTTGTTCACACATCATGCTGAGTTTTTACCCTCAACCTTGTGTTAATTATTGCTTTTGTCCCATGGAAGTGTTAAACCATGAATACACAAGCAATATTCTCTCTGTTGTGAATGCTCTTATAAGAACAGGGATTGGTATTTATATGCATACAATATATTTTTTTGCTTAACAAATTTTATGTGTCTCCAAAGTAGTTATTTTGAGATTTTTGCATGAGCCAAATTCTTTTTGTAGTTACATTTCATAATATTTGTCATAATATTGAAATTTAGTTCCCCCCTCTGCGGTGCTTTGAATAGAAGAAGCAGGTCTGTTTGTACTGTAAGAGACTTTTACATACCATTTACTTCCTTCTAGAAATTTTGGTAGATGTAGGGTTATTCTTTATTGCCTCAACTGTTTTGAATTTTCAAAAAGGAGAGCTAGTTGGATGTTCTTTTTGCAACCTACAGTATGGCCAGCTGTTGAATAACACTGATCTAAAGCTAAAAATGTTTGAATAGCTTTTCTAGGTGTGTGTAAAAGAAGCATGTGTTTGACAGATTAATCTGTTATTTAATCAAGTAAGAGAAGAGGAAATAGCTCCAAAAAATAGAAATTTTGTTAACTGTTTTCTAGTCTCTTTGGTGAAATGAATGTCTCATTTTAAGCTTTAGTTGCTAGGTCTTTTGAAAAAGAAAGTAGCATAATCTTTGATGAATGTTCGTATTAGGCACTTGAGTTTTGCAGTAAGAAAATGACATTGCTTAGGTTATCAATGGGTTGTAAATCAACTGCATGGTTCTTGTAGACAGTTGAGTGGAAGGTGGTAATGTCTTTAAGCATTTTATGTTTGAGACTCAGCGGTGAGAATCACTAGGAATTTTTATACCACATCACCTAATAGGTAATAATAGCACAGGAAGAGAGCTTCACAGTTTTAGGTTAGGGATAGTGCTAAAGAAGAAAAAGCACAATGCTGTGCATAATTCATCCTTTATGCATTCTGGAGACTTGGTAGGTTGTGGCTTAACCACGATAAAACCATGTTCATGTACCACTTAGTACATCATTTTGGAGTTGGATCAATTCAGGATAGGGAATATTTCAGTTTTTAAAGAGTTGAAGTTGTGCTATCTTGTAATTTGGTGACTGTGTTGTTTGATATAACCAGACCTGGGTGGTTTCAAACTCCACCTGATCTTCTTGAAGCAGTTTCACTCCTGAATAAATGCATGGAACACTATAGGAGACAGCATAGACACCTCTCTTCTGTCCTGCTCCTTTTTGTTTCAATGAGAGATTTAAACAATATTGCCTTTGAATAAAATGCAGTGTCAAATGTCATTGATGATATATCCTCCCCAAGTCCTAAAAGAATCATAATACTAGGTGACAGATCCAGAGTTTACCTGGATTTACTCTATTCTGGCACTCTCATGTAGAACTGTGTGGACATCATCACAAAAATAAGTGGTTAACATGTTGCTAGAGATCAGAAAGAGAAAACTTGTCTTATTCTATCTGGTAATCTATTTAAAAATGTCATGTCATTCATTACTTCAGTCCATCAGTTGCATTTATTAAGTGCCTGGCATGTGTTAGATACTGAGCTGAGTCTTGTAGCTGAGGGCCTGAAGTAGGGAAGGGCTCACTTTTCAAGGGCTTAATGGACATTTTACACTTACTGGTAGATATTTTATACTGGAATGTAGAAAATGCCAGATCCCAGTCAGCTTTCCTGATATCAGTTCAGGTCACTATGATGTTAGAATCAGACTCCTCTGAAGGATGAATGAATGGTAGTGTGCAGAAGTCTTTCTGGATTGTCTCCATGTTCCTTCTTTTGGACTGCAGATTGATGCAGTCTCAGTAGACCATTCTCAGAGTACCGGTCCAGTTTTTTGGAGGTTTTCTCAGAGGTCAGGATGGTTCCACAGTGATTTTTTATCTGACTTCTCTTCAGTGCTATTCAAGATCTTAGAGGGAGCCATGACACCACCCTACCTGTATTCCTGTACTGCACACTGAGGTTAGGTGGGAAGTAGATTAGCTTCTAAAGAACTGAGGGCGTTATTCTTGGGGTCATCACCCTTCTGCAGCAAACCAGAACAAGCATCATTTTTCAGTAGTCCAACTCATGGTGAAGATAAGCAGGAGTCACTGCCCTAGGGCAAGTTTTGGTATCAGACTCTCTCTTTACCAGTGTTCTGCCAACACACAAAACCTAATTGTTTGGTTGAACTTTTGAGAAATGAATGCATAGAGATCCTTAGGAAGAGAAGGCCGTTGAGGACACAAGTACTTGTATTTTATAATTGTAGGTCATAAACAGGGACTTCTTGGCCCCGGGGCTGTGTTTTATAGGGTGGCATTTACTTTAAATGGCCCTGCTCAGGAAGATTAAACAGACTGCATGATCAGGTAACTGTGGCTTAAGTGTCTAATATAGGTACAAAAACGAGCAGAGATAATTTTTTTTTTTTATTAGCAAAGTGACTCACAAGAAAGAGATTCTAGTTAGACATGGCCTCTTGGTATGGTTGTTCAGTCTCAAGTGAGGCAGTGCTGGTTGTTATGGTGGGAAGTTGGATGTTTTTGAAAGTAACTCACAGTTACCTGTGGCTTGTGTTGGTTGAGTATGGAAAATCAGGGAGTCTTTCTGAAGTTTAGTGCTGCTTGTTAATTTCTTGTTAACAATTATGGTAATACTGCATATCCTAGCAGTAGAGTGAGAAAATTCAGCTAGTGTGTCTTGAATGTTCTTATTGCCCTCTCTTCATGTTCAGAGGTGCTATTTTGTTTTAGGAGAGCTGTAAATTGTTTGATGATTCCAGCCAGTTACAAAATTAACTACTCTGACTTACATAATGTTTAATTAGAATCTCTGAAATGAAAGTTTTATCCTTTCTCTCTGTTATATGAAACCTCTTAAACATGAAGCATGCTGGGTTGCTTGTATGGACAAGACTACTCTGGGCAACATGGTTGGCAAATGGATTAGATCCTTTGATATATATTTCTGTTGTTGAAAATCAATAGCAGTGTATCATTGGGGAGAAACAAAGTTTGCACTTTGTCTTGATAAGGCTCACTCAGTTTTAATCTAGCCAGAAATGAAAATTATATTCATTTTCTTCAAAGAGATAAATTTTCTATCACTTCCAACTTTCTAATACCATTGTGTTAATATGTAAAAGACTGTGGGAAGAGAAGATTTAAGTTTATTAAGGCAAAGGGATGACAGAGTTACGAGATAGTCCTTACATATTAAACAGTTGGTCAGCTTTTATGTGATTAATTCTGATAGAGGTGTTTGTGAGTAGTTTTTAGACGATCCGATGGTTTTTAGTGGCTGATCATTTCAGCAGGTGTCCAGGCTCTTTCCATAGGCAAAATAAACCTAACTGTTCTAATGGACAGGTTATCACAACAGACACTACTAAAATAGAGAATACAGGCTTTATAGGCCAGGTTCCATGGAAGAGGTAATCTCAGGAGATTAATACATTGTCTTTCTTTCCTGAGAAAATTTTTATTTCATTGTCTACAGAAGAAGAAGTAGCAGAAAGTAATAGAAGGTTTATAAAACTAAAACGAATTTCTTTACTTCTATACAGTCTCCTGCAGACAGATCTCAGAAGATTCATGCTGGTGATGAAGTCATTCAAGTTAACCGGCAAACTGTGGTAAGTTTGTCTATCGAGGCCTACTTTTCCTCTTTTAACTAAATATAAAATCTGTTGGTTTCAATTTTTCAAGTCTGTAATTTCTGTCTGATTTTTCTGCTATCTTAAGTGCTAAGACAAACTTGTACCTACCTGTTTATTTGCTCACTGCTGTCATTTCCTTGAGATAAATTCACAGACTTGATTTTTCTTTACGCGTGAACAAATCCTCACACCTTGTTTTCTCTATCTGAAGGTGGGATGGCAGCTAAAAAACCTGGTGAAGAAATTGAGAGAGAATCCCACTGGAGTTGTGTTACTGCTTAAGAAGAGGCCTACGGGTTCATTCCACTTCACTCCAGCTCCTCTGAAAAACCTGCGGTGGAAGCCACCTCTTGTGCAGGTACCTGTCATTTCTGTAGGATTTGTATAGCACCAGAATATAAATAGGGTCAGAGTCTGGCTTGTCTCATTAAAACAAACAAGCAAAAAAATAAAAAAAACCCACATTAAAATATGAAAGTGGTTGGTTTCAGGAGTTGGTTTGTAGCTGCTTATTCTGTAATCCTGCTTGTATGAAAATACAAATTCTAAAACAGCACTGAGCAATATGATAGCCACTAGCCATAGATGACTCTTTAAAGTAATAAAATAACATAGAGTTCAATTCCTCCAGCTCCCTGTCCCCCTTCAGGTGGTAAATAGCCATGTGTCACTTGTGCCATGATAGTGGACAGCACAGGTAGAGGTGTTTCTACCACTACACAGTGGTCACTCTGGGTTACTTCTGTCATTTCAGACATGTGTAACTGTACATAGTTTCGGTACCAGTCCTATAGAGCCTGTATGGGGTTGAATTCTTATCAGTACTTTATCAAGGTAGAGGCAGGGGCAGTGGATGCAGCCCATCCAATGGAGAGCCACATGGAGGCAGGAGATGGTGTGGATGACCTGCTGGCCTTAGGCTCACAAGCATCCTACTCTCCCCACATTTCCTTAACAACCTGATGTGAGCCTTGGGAGGATGTGCACCAGCTGTTTCAGAGGGATTGGGGGTAACTCTGGTCATTACAATTGCGATTTTGACCCTCCAGACACACACACCATGGTCTTTGGCAGCCGTGCTCATTCAGTCCAGGCTCATATAAAGTGCTCTCTCCTGATAGGAGGGTGGAGACTTTCAATTAATTGGACAGAGTCCCATTAGATGCCACCCCAAGACTCCCAAGACCTCAGAAAGGTCCCAATAAATACTGTACCTCAAAACCTGGAGTAGATAGGGTTATCTGTCACTCTTCTTATCTGCTTGATCCTGATCTGGGGAATGTACTTTCCTTTAATAAATCTGTGTCTTTCTTTCTTTGGGATAAAAAGAGCCTGGAAGTTGGGTGAGACAGACCAGTTGTCTGGTAACAGTATCATACCATGGTTGAGGAATTACTCAGAATTATCCATATCTGGTGATAGTAAAAGGCAAGCCATCTGTGAATGACTTTTCTTATCTACATTCTCTTCAAACAATGCATGCCCTTCTTGTCTATACACGGCTTGTGGGCTTCCCTGGCCATCTGTCCTATTATACCATTGATCATTAGTGTTACTTCCTAAGCCAAGAAGGTGAAACAATGACATTTGAAGGTCCCTTTATCAAAATGAAATTACAATTTATCTGTAACTGCCTGTGATTTTATTATATATCTTCACCTGGAAGGTGTGGTAGTTTCGGGTCATCACTGTAGATACTTTGTGATGTAGAGTACTGTAAATATATCCAAAGTACAGCTCAGGAAGGGTGGAGACATCAGTGATGTTGTTCAGCTGTAGAAGGGTACGATTGAAGGTCTCACACAAGATTTTTAAAAACAGGTCCTTTGAGACCATTAAACTCACCTGTGATTAAGTTGTATGGATTTCAAATGTTCTAATTAACTTGTGTTTTTGAGCATATATATTGTATGTGTATGTGCATGTCCATTACTAAGTTAAATGTAATATAAAGTTGTATACTCATCTGTGTGACAAGCAGTGTCCTAGGCTCTTTATGTTCATGATCTCACTTAATTTTCAGAGCTACCCTCTTGAGTACTGTTCTTATTGCCTTCCATTGCCATTTTATAGAGGAGGCACAGGGGAGTTGAGTCACTGGCTCAGTGACACAGATCTGGGTCACACCAGACAGAGTGCCAAGTCCACTGTCCTTGCCAGTGGTAGCCCTGTTAGTGATTTTCATGAACCAAGTCCGTACTGCACCTCTCTGCAAGCCACACTGTCAGTATCCCTGTTTTATAAAGGGGAAAGAGAAAATGTGGATATCTGACAGTCCCAGAGCTAGAGAGCACCCTCAGTTAACACTGAGGGTCTCCAAGAAGCCTACAAGTTGAGTCCTCTCCGGAGCTGTGAACAGATGGATGGTTTAAGCTCTGCTTGCACATGGCGCTGGGTCTCGGATCTGGGGAGAGGAAGGTATGCTCAGGGTAGTTTCTGCGCTGACCTCCACTCTTGCTCTCCGTGTGGTCCTGTTGCAGACCTCACCCCCACCCATGACAGCCCAGTCCCCTGAAAGCACCATGGATGCCTCGCTGAAGAAGGAGAAGCCAGCCATCCTGGATCTATACATTCCTCCTCCTCCCGCGGTTCCCTACTCGCCCCGGTACGTCCTTCCATTTTCACACCTCCCCTGTGCGTGCAGATTCTGAGTGGTGGTGTGAAGAGCCCCTGGAGCTAAGGGAGGAGGTTGCTGGACTGCAGTGTGACCGGGCTGTGTCTGGGACTGTGATCAGTCCTGCTCCACAGGAAATGCAGGGGGAGGCCTGTGTTATGTGGGGACAGCTTGCTGGAGAGGGGCCTTTTAAGAAAAGAATACCAAAATGTTTTACTTCTGAAAAATTTACTAAAGTATGTGTTCCTCGTGGGACCTGGGAAGGGGCTGTTTGGAGGTCTCTCTGCAGCTTAAGTTTCATTAACTCCGTAATAAATTCATCTGTGGAGAGCTAGGAATGTTGTAGCTTGATTTTGCTGAGAAAGGTATTCTCCATGGCACTTTTACGAAACTGTTGAGAATAGTGTGGTCTGTAAACATGCATGGGTCTGTGTCTGGGGATATGACGTATTAAAGACAGTTGCTTTCTTTATGGCCATCTTCATGTAATATGGAATAGTGAGGGTGATCATACAGGGTGGTGTAGGGGAGACAGGTGATGATTTAGGTACATTCTCGGCTTCTTTATATCAACTCACATATGCTGGGAAGACTAGAGGATCTGGATCATTTCTTTAGTATGTGCCTACTGACTGCAGGGTCTGGGTGACCACCCGTCACAAAACAGACCTGGCCCCCCAAACCTGCCAGTGTTGCATTCAGCTGTTTAAGAATAAGTTGAGAAATATATAATTATACTATATTTCATAAGACAAAAGTTCAGGCTGCTGTTTTTTTTTTTGGTACCAGGGACCGAACTTGGGTCCTTAAGCTTGCAAAGCAGGCGGCAGAACCACTGAGCTAAATCCCCGGCCCCAGGCTGCATTTTTTGTAGTGGCATTTTTCTTCACGTTGGAATTTTCCATTGATTTGTTTTTATTCAGCTGAGCTATTTGCTTCTTTTGCGTATCTTCCTTGGGGTTGGTGAAGATTCCCATGGTTTTACGTGGAATGCATGACAGCGTGTGGAGGATTTACCTTAAGTGATCGGGGCATTCTGGCTGTAGACAACCTTCTGCCCTGGAGTCACAAGCCAGAGACATGTGGTCACAGGATCTGAAGGGACTTTAAGGTACAATGACTACAAGGTCAGCACAGTTTCACTGACAAAGTGTGGGTTGTTGCATCAGAAACTGTAGGGGGCACTGGGGATGTGGCTCAGTGGCAGAGAGCACTTACCTAGCATGTGGGAGACTCTGCGACCCTGAATATTCTTCTCTGGGCCTTCCGGTGAGTCACAGAAATAGTGCAGATAAAGGACAAAGGGAGTGGAGCTTTTATTCTATCTGGGTTAGATGTGTACTATGTACCCACATACACTTAAACTAATGAAGGGTTTTCTCTGAGTAATAAAAATGCATATGGATTGCAGAGAAATGAGTAGTGAGTCATGGAAGGTTTATGAGTGGAGAAGTTAGATGCCAGGTTTAAAAGTGGAGAAAGATGGATTCTTGGGTTGGAGGGGTAAGCAGACAGCAAGCACACCTGGGATTGCCACACACAGGCAGAGATGACTAGGAGATTGCTTCGGGACTCACTTCATTCTGGATTTTGTCTAGTACTATTTGTAGTAATTACCTACTAGAATTTGCTAAATGGAAAAAAAAAAGCAAGAAACATCTGCAACTTGAATTTGACAATACTATGTTTTATTATAAACTGACATTTAGATAGAATTAGGATGTAATCAGTGATTCAGCTTTTTCTAGTTTCTTTGAATTCAGCAATAGTCACCCTCCACTGTTTATTGACCCTTTGTATAGTTGGCACAATTTTCAATCCAACAACTTCATTGTTCATGAAGGATCTTCTTTACTGGATTTTGGGAAAGATACTACTTTTGGCTTGAAAAACATCAATAGCGCATACCTTAACTTCTGATTTCTGTCGCATATAGGAGATTCAGTTACAGCCTTAAATAAAGGAAAACTATAAAGCTATAACTTTGCCAATGCATATAGGTACTATTAAGACATAGGTGGGAAACACTGCATTTCCTCTCAATTAATAGAGTGTTGGTATTTGTTCTTTATTAATAGTGTCTGTATGTAATTTAGTGGTAGCTGGAGTTGAATAAAGCAATGCTTTTCCCTTATTTGGAAAGGAGGTAAATTTTGTGTGCCAAAGGTAGCACAATCCCAGAATTCTTCAGCAGGAAAGAGTGCTTATGAGCAGTGTAATTATTGCACATTGTCTTCCAGGGATGAGAAAGGGAGTTTTGTTTATGGAGGATTCAGTAAGTATAAACAACCACTGCCTCGGCCTAAGGGCTCAGAGTCCCCAAATTCCTTCTTGGATCAGGAGAGCCGAAGACGAAGATTTACCATTGCCGATTCTGATCAGTTGCCTGGATATTCAGTGGAAACCAACATTCTACCCACAAAAATGAGAGAGAAAACACCATCTCATGGTAAGTTCCCAGTGCTTGTCTTGTTCTGCCATTTCCTTTTACTTGTCTTTCCCACCCCTTCCTTACTTACGGATGAATTTGGCAGACGTTAAGGGTAATCTGAGGAAAACATAAACCGCAATGAAATTCTAAATATGAGACCTTTATTCATCTCTCTAAAGCAAAGCCTTGTTGAGTCATTACTCTGCCTGGCATCAAAGCCCAGCTGGGTGAGCTCACATTACAGTTTTAACTTTCAGTGCCTGGGTTTTCACTGTGGAGTTGTGGATGCACAGGCTCAGCTTTGGCCCGCTTCTGTCTTAATTGCTTGCTGTGGAAACATGGTACTTTAAAATACTTTCCTTATTTTAAAACTTGTTATTGCTTTAGCATAAGCGCATAAGTGTTAGTGTGGGATCTAAGTTATAAATAAAGGAAAAGATTGGGTGAAGTGTACATACTCGCTAACTCTGTCACCTTCCTTCTCATCTCTCTGCAGGCAAGCCCCGGCCTTTGTCCATGCCTGCGGATGGGAACTGGATGGGGATTGTAGACCCTTTTGCCAGACCTCGAGGTCATGGGAAGAAAGGTATGTTTCATCTCTGTTGACCAAAATTCACCATGCAAAGTCAGAAGACCCAGCTTCATGCCTCCACTGTGCTCTTAAATGTGTTCACAAGAAGTAGAGGGAGAACCTGGTTTTTCCAGGTACCATTTGTCATGTGTTAGATTAGGCCTGCTAAGGAGCTCTGAGATCCTACTTATTTCTAGAATGGCAAAGTGATCAACCCCTGACATCTGTTAGGGACTTGGTAAAGTTTTTTACCCAAGTACCTGCATCACCTGGATTATACTAAAGTGACAGAGGGTCAAGATGACAGACGGTGCCTCAGGATAACCTTAGTGTGCCTGTGAGAATCTGTGGAGCAGTCAGCAGGGGGCAGGGCTGTCCTTTGTTTCGATTTAGCGGTGGTAGCATCTTCATTGCTGTTCTTTCAAGTATGGATTTCTTTCTTCTATATATTGAGAAGTGGAGTAGAGGAGCTGGGAGGGTGAATGTGGAAAATGGAAAAAATACTTGTCTCTCTGTTCCTTCTGCATTTCTTACCTCAGAATTAAAGGTATTTATCTGCATGTTTCCATTTTAGAAGAATAACAGTGTTTTGGGACTATAACTCATATAGCATAAATTTCATCTTTTTAAAATGTACCACCTGGTGGTTTTTTTCAAAAATGTGCCTCAACCACCACCTCAAAACATTTTTATTATTACCTATACTGTTAGCAGGTTTCTGTGGATTCCAGCCTTCCCTAGCCCGCTGACACTAATCTACTTTGTATCCATGGGTTGATCATGGAAATTTCATATATACGGGCTCATATAATATATATCTTTTGGACAAGGAGAACTTTTAAAAAGTGATTTTTCCCTTTTGATTACAAAAACAAAGCAGGTACATTGAAAAATATCTAAAAGACAGGAGAAGATAAAACTTGGGTCAAGCGTAGTGGCATGCTGATAATCTCAGCAGTCTGGAAGGCAGGAGCAGAGGATCACAAGTTCAAACTCAGCCCAGTGACTTAGTGAGACAATGTCTCACAATTTAAAAAGGTGCGTGGGAATGTAGCTTAGTGTGAACGACCTGAATTCAGTTCATAGTAAGGCAAAAAAGGAAAGAAAGAAAACAAACCTCAACTAAAATCTGCTTCAAAACCTAGGAACAATCACTGTGAATGTTTTGTGTTTCCTCTAGTTCCTATATTACATATTACACAGTGAACAAAACACGGAAAGTGGAAGAAATAGATGTTCAGTAACACCATGTAATTCAAATACTTTCTAGAACATGTAATTCCTTAATATAGCTGCATTAGTATTGCATGTCTTGGCTGGAGCTCCTATTTATTCAGTTTGCTGTTACTGGTAGGTTATTTCTGTGGCTTTCCCCCCCTATTTTGAATAACATTTCAGTAAACACCCTTGTAAATCTTTGCACATTTTGGGGAGTGGGATTTCTAAAGAATGCTACATGTTACCGATGTGTCCTGTATTTTACATTCCTGTTCAGTTTCTTAAATGCCAGCCTCTCCCCAAAAGGTCAGCTGCCATTTAAAGCAAGATCCTTTTTGTTCCAGGAATGCCCCCATAGTGCAGGACATTTAAATCTTTGGATCTGTGGCTGACAGCCCAAGACACCCCACTCTCCTAAGTGTTCCTTGACATGATCCATGACAAGAAACACTGCCCTGTGGGCATGGGCTTCATGCTGCAGCACTGTACAAGAACAGCTGGGGAAAGGAGTGCTAGAATCATACCTTGTTCTGTCTCTCTTTGGATATTTTTTCTTTTTCTTTTTTTCCTGTACTGAGGATTGAGCCCAGGGCTTTCACACTGAGTTACATTTCCCAGCCCTCTTTTAAGTTTTTACATTTTGAGATAGGTTTTTCCTTAAGTTGCAAATTTGTGACCCTCCTACTTCAGCCTTCCCACAGTCCTGGGATTATAGGTATACACCACGACACAGGGCACTGTCTTTAGTTTTTTATTTTAAGTGAATTATGAAACTTCTTCCATTAATAAAGAAGTGTATGTTCTCTGGATGTGCTGGTGCCTTCCCATCTTACCTAAGAGGTGGGAAAGCGGCCTGAATCTTGTTGGCCCTCTTCCTTCTGTTCCAAACACTAGGGGGTGAGCTGGGTCCCACATGCACGCTTATCTTTGGTTTCTGTTTTTTCCCAATGATCACTTGCTGTGGATTGCCATTTTAATGGACTTGTGGGCTTTGTCTGGACACAGGGGAGGACGCCCTTTGCCGGTACTTCAGTAACGAGCGGATCCCACCGATCATCGAAGAGAGCGCCTCTGCTGGATACAGGTTCTCCAGACCCGCAACAGAGCGACAGCTGGTGCGCGGTGCAGACTACATCCGTGGGAGCAGGTGCTACATCAACGCAGATCTGCACAGTAGTGCCACCATCCCGTTCCCGGAGGAGGGAACCAAGAAGAAGGCGGCCTCCGCGGAGCCGTCCCTGCTGGTCAGCTGGCTCACGCGCCTGAAGCTGTTGACTCACTGAGACCGCCTAGGGGGCCTGCGGGGGCCTGCTCCTAAGTGCCTTGTTCCGGGGGACCCGAGTGACCTTGCATCATTTCCTTTGTATTTTGTAGAAAGTTGTATACTGCCCTTCTTGGACATTGGAAATGATCAATGGCAGCAGATCCAGGGCATCCTAGGGGCTGCTCATGGAGGCGGGAGGAAGGCGTGGAGGCACATCTACAAATTGGGGGTTGGCCGGGCGCATTGTGGTCATTGTTGGGAGCCAGCAACATCTGCTGTTGTGCTTTCTCTGGTGAGGGGACTCAGACTGGTGGCTTTTCTCGTATAGATGTGTTGGCTTGTGGTCCGCCTTCTTTAACCGAAAAAGCCAGTTGGAGAAGAGATTTTTGTCTAGATTTTTAAAGCGTTTGTACCATTATTTGTAAATACAGTGGCTTCGACTTTGAAAGCACATGTGGCAAGTGTGTGATGCTCTTCAGAGCAGAGGTTTACATAGATCTGTTACATTTGGTTAATGCCCTTACTCATAGCAAGCTCAGCCTAGGTCAGTTAATACAGCACACGCACACGTGTGGATGGGCTTGTTACAAAAAGCGCGTGGTTATTCGTGAGAATTGTCGTGTCCCTATATATTATTGTCTTTAAGGGAAAAGAAGCTATAAGATTTGCTGAAAGCCAAAGTATCATGCAGAAAAGCTAAAGCAACAGGGTTTAGGTTTGTGAGAGCTGTATCAGTTTGCATTTTTGAACTGTTTGATGTCTGTCTCTCGGGAAGAGCCCACAATTCTTCAAAAGTGGACACATTTTGCTAATTCGAAATACGTTACAAAGCCTTGTGGTCACTAACTTTTCAACTAGCTTCAGGTATTTTGAAAAAGTGCATCTGAATATTAACCCTTGTTTAAACTGAATGTATGATATTTTGTTAGAACGGAAAAGTACTATCTTGTTAATTTAAGTGTTTTAAATATAGTTGTATATTTTTCTTACTCTCAGTCACATGTAATTGAAATATTTCTGTTTTGCGTCGTCATTCACAAAGCAAATGAAAGAGTGTTGAAGGTGTTTTTAGATTTACACATGACCATCTGGTTGTTGCCAGTTTGGGCACTAATATTAAAAAACACAATAAGCTTCTCAGGCATTTTGGGATTTCTATGAATGAATAGTGGAGGAGCCGAAGGAATATATGTAAAGTAAAATTATAATAGGGGAATTCTCCAAGGTATATTCCTTGGCGTAGCTGGTATCCCCCCACCTCAAATTCACTCTCTCACACTGTAGAATTGTTCACTTTGCTGATCTGCCTGAAAGTTAGCCCATGAGAAATTCACACCGGTCAGCAAAACTCTTTCCTCTAAAATACCCCTCCCGTAGTGAGGTTAAGGGAGCCAGCAGTCTCTTATGTAAGTGTGACTGCAGTCGTAGGGGCCGTTTTCCTGTCAGCCTCAGAAGGAGCTGCAGGAAGATAGTGTATTGCATGGAGGACCCACGTGTACTGTGCAGACTGGATAAGAAGATCTTGGAAGGCAAGATTGATTGGGTGCCTCATATGTGACAGGGCAGAGGAATCTCACAGGTCACTGGTAGCAGGGAAGAAGCTACTTAAATGGAGGGCCAGGCTTGCCACCGTTACCATGCACCGAACTGGATCCGTGCCCGGAAGTGGCTTTGCTTCCTTTTACTCCTAGAGGTAGGGGAGTGCTCTTGTGTTGAAGGTCCACTACTTAATGATTTAAAAACCTTTGGAGATCTTATCTGACATGGTGGTCCCTTGTCTGTGGGGGAAGATACCGCTTGTAAATGGAAGCTTAACTTTCAGCACTCACTCTTAACTCCACAGCATCAGATCCTTCTTCTCAGACCTCACCTGAAGCCCATGGGAAGGTCAGAGAAGTTCTGACTTCACCTACCTGGAGTCAGTCTTCATAGCTTTGTTTTTATTTGTACTTTTATGTGAGATTCTCTTCTGGATTGTGTTTGAGAAATATATTGCTGCTAAAACGTTTTTGTACACCTCTGTTTTTGAAATATATAAATGTTAGCTAATATGAATTTCTTAGAAATGAATGGAAATTTCTTTCCTCCATATTAATCCAGGTTAATGGTAGACACATGTAAACATGTGAAGATGCAGGATGAAATAATAATTTAAAACTGGTCTTTTAGCCTTACCAACCCTATTCAAGTCTCACCTTTTTTATAATAAATATTTTATAGCATCTCTTTATAATCATCAAATGAAAATCAGACATATACACACCTCTTACTAATCTGAAATGAAGGTAACAGGTAATATGACCTGCTTCTAAGCAGGCGCACCATTGTCATGTTGTAACTGAACTGTAAGAATTTCACAGTGGTATTTTCATATGTAAATGTTCTGGCATGATTATAGGTTATGAAATAATGAAACAAGTGTGTATATGTGAGGTGTGATTAAAAAGTGGCGTTTTTAAATTTTAAAAAATTATTACCATAAAAGATATGTTGCCATTAATCCCCTTCTAAATACTTTCCCTTGCTTCAAACACACTTATCCCATTGTTCTTGTTACTTTCTGAAGCAGTTCTGGAAAACCGTTTTTGTGTCTTTAGCTGTGCTGTCATGGCTGCCTCTGTGTCCTGAATTACTTCAAAATATTTACTGAGCTTTTGTGGGCATTTTGACTGCAGGTAGGAAAAAGCCAGAAGTTGCCTGTTGCCAGATCCAGTGAATAAAGTGGCCAAGGACACACAGAAATGTTTTTACACACCTGTATTTCTGTTGGATGGTATTTGGCAGCAGCCTTCACTATTTTTTAATCACATTTTGTAAGGACACAGAAGACTTCTAGAACTGCTTCAGAAAGTGCAAAGAGTAAAGGAGTGTGTGTTCAAAGCAAGGGAGAGTATTTTGAGGGAAATTAATGGCCATGTATCTTATACTATAATTAAATTTTAAAACTTTAAACACTTGTGATTACCCCATGTAAATAAGTACTGTATATGTGCATGTTTGTGTATGTATACACGTGTGTGTTCACATGTACATAGCAGTTGTATGTATCACACGTATATGGTAACTATAAATGCAGACCAGTACAGGCCTGCTTACATTGACCATTCAATACCTACTACCCAGGCTGATTTTTTAAAATGTGGTTAATTCCTGATAAAGCTCGAGACAAAACAGATGTTTGTGATAGCTTCACTTAAAGAGTTTACTGTGCGCCTAAAAGTGTTTCTAAGGCTTACCATCTCCGTGAGATGAGTGCCACTGTTACTCCCATTTTGCATAGGAGAAAGTTATCCCGAGCTGCGTGGCTGATAAAGTCAACAGTCATGGAAGAGTTGAGAGGAAGGTGGAGGCAGACTGGTTCTGGCTTCTGTACTCGCCCCGTCACTGCTGCACAGGCCCCCTCCGTGTATAGGACACTCTGATTGCATTCCAGAAAAATCCACAGCATTTTGAAAGTGAACTAAGCATTCTGTATAAAAAGTGAAATTATAAACAGTATTTACATAATTTTAAACTAGATTTCCATCTCCTTGAACATTTAGGGGACACTTGGAAGTTGTGCTGGTGGGATTGTGTGTGTGTGTGAGAGCGCGTGTGCGCCGGTCCTTTTGTTTTTATTTTGGAAGAAGGACTCACGACGTTTCCCAGGCTGGGCTTCATCTTGCAGTCTCCCTGCCTCAGAATCCTAGAGTGCAGGTATTACAAGCACATGTCACTATGCCCGGCTAATTGAATTAATTCTTTGCTGTGATGACTCTAACTTGTAGGGCTTCTGCAGCACCTGTGATCCCACCTAGTAAATGCAAATAGTGGCTTCCCATTACCACTCCCATTCGCCTCTATTTCCGAAATGGCCTCTAGGGGGCAGTACCGTCTATTTTAGAACAAATGTTCAGAAAGAAAATCCTGCCTCTGCTATTAAGTAGTGTTTCGATTTATGTATTTGTCAATTTCCTGTCTCTACTTCTGTCTGCTCAGATTTTTTTTTCTCCCACCAAACCTGCAATTTTGGAATCTGTTTCATGTGGTTTTATTGTTTTAATCCCCCCACCCTAACCCCAGGCCAAAGCACTTGTTGCTTCCTCTGGCCTAACGACCATCAACAGCCCCACATTTCATTTATTAGCTTCAAAAAATCCTAAAAGGTATTTACTACTAGCATTCATCCCCCTAGAGTTGCAGTAAGTAAATCTCTGTTTAACATTCGAATTTTACCAGTGGGGGAAAAAAAAACATTACCGTGAATGGGGTGGAGATTAAGGCCTCCCATGGATGTTCTCACCTATTATATATGTGATTAGTTTTCACATTTTATTCCCACCCTTGTTAATCAGTGCATGACATAATTTCCTTTTGGATGAAAATATCACAAACTGCTTGCCTGAAGATTATGTGAAAGGTAAACATCTTAAAAAAATAATTGAACTGTTTTTAGTAGTCACTCTGGTTTGAGCAGTGAATCTTGATTTTATTCATTTTTGGAGTTACTCCATGGCTTAGCTTGTGTTGCTATTAAAAACAAAAACAAAAACAAAAACAAAAAACAACTGGACTCCATGAATTCAATGAGGAAAAGCTATTTCTCACAGTTCTGGAGGCTGGGAAGTCCAGGTTAAGGTTCTGGCTGGTTCAGTTCCTAGAGAAGGTCTTGTCTTTGTTTGCAAATAACCATCTTATTGTAAGAGGAGAGAAAGTGGTAGAGAACTCTTTTCTTACAAGGGCACTAATGATAAACCCTTGTGATCTAATTACCTCCCTGAAGCCCCACCTCCCAATACCTTTATATTGGGGCCTAGAACTTTGGAAGAACTCAAGCATGCAGTCCATAGCACTCTACTTGTATATTTATTATTTCATGCTAATCAACTGGAAAAGGAATATTTTCAAGTCTTTTTTTATATAAAAAATTGGCATAGAATCATTTACTCACTTTACTAGTACTTCTTCAGATACGTGAAAGGCATATTCGCATGATGCATGAAGGCTAGTAAGACTATGTAGTTCATGTTTGACGGTGTACAGGGTATGGAGTTAGAAAAAAGTCCTTACTGTAAAATTTATAGTTATTTGGAAAATTCTCACTTGCTACTTTGCCTGAGGGGTTCTCCTTACTTTGGTTCTGAGTTACTGCTTGAAGTGTGCTGATTTGATAAAAGGGACTCACCGAGGCTTACCATAAGGAGAGGGAAAGGGAAAGGACTGCCCCACAGTCAGGCTTGCTGAAGAGCTTGTTTTTCTCTGCTTTTAGGGAGCAAAGTCTCAAACTCTGTTTGTGTGCTCAAACACACAATTTCCAGCTCAAAGTTCCCCCAGAAACACTGCCGTGTGACCTGCTGATTCAGAGATAAGAGAGAAGATTTTTGTCCGTAACTAACAAAGTTAAGTCCTACATGCAAGCGGCGGTTGTGGACAGGGTCAGAACCTTTGGGCGTACACTCCACTGATTTCACAAAAAAGTACATCGGGTACAGTGACTAAGGACTAGATTTCAGGTGCATCCCGATTGTCTATTCCCTTTTTAAAAATCTGTGACTCCTTTTATGAAGCGCATCGTTTGAGACAATCACCTGTTCTTTTGCTCCTAATTGACAGCGGACCTTGGCGTGCAAGCACACGAGGCTTCCTGCAGAGAAGGTGGGAACTAACCCTGCACTGTCTGCCTGTCACCGACCATTTTGGGTTTGACATTCTCAGGAAGACAGCTCACTGCTTGAGCTTTTTGTCATACTTGCAGCCAGTTTGTTAGGCAGTGGTCTCCTTTACTGAGCTTTGTGTTTTTCTGAGAAGTTGTGAAAATGAAATTGTAGAAAAAAATTAAGAAATCAACTTCAAGGCTATTAAAACAGGAAAAAGAAAAGGATAATCATTGCTTGCATCTAGGGATGAGAATATTCTTGTTATATTCTCTCCCTTTGCTCAGAGCATTGCAGACACTCAAATTTTTTGTGAAGGGATGATTAAAAGGGGGGAAAATATTTTTTAAAAATGATTAGAACGAAGGAAATTGTTCCTCTACTGACTAGACTTGTTAAAAGGGATTTATAATTCAACTTTATTATCAGGGGGTGAAGTTGGGATTTTATTTTAAGATATTCATTTTGACATCTTGGTGGGAACATTTTGACTATTTTAAAGAATCATGAAAGCATTAAAAATGAAGTTTGATATAAAGTAATATTGTCTCTGAAGGAAGGGATTGTTCTTTTAATTTAGTGAATGTCAAGTTCTGTTTTCTTACTCATATCTACACTCTCTATCATTCCAACTGAGGCTGTGCCAGGATTAGAGAGGAGGGATTTGGGGAATTAGTACCGATTTAGAAGCCTTTGACTTTTGAAATTGGCATCAAGTAGTTAGCAGCAGTTGAGGCTAAGCCTTTGAAGTCTGATGATCCAGCTCTCCTTACCAGTTCCGTGATCTGAAACAAGTTACTTACGTCTTTGCTCCTCTGTTGTCCGCGAAATGGGGTAATAGAGGCTTGTGATGATCAAATGGGAGGAAGTACAGTCTAATACACAGCACTTAATAGACATTACTCTTGTCATACAATAGGAGCAGTATTCATTCCATCTCAACCTCTAGTAAATAAAGCACTCAGAGCTGGTCAACAGGAAATCACACATTCTTTTGTCAATAACCAGCAAAATGTGCCAACTGTCAAAAGACTGCTGTGGAATCTGGCCTGGCAGTGCGGTTTTTGCTGCTATAAATCTCAATTACTCAGACATTTTGGTGAGCCAGAACCCAAGAAATGATGAAAGTCTGTTTATGAGTGGACATATGCAGAATTCTAGAATTTTATTTTTTTGACTTATCAGTAGAGCTTCTCTCCTGACCATCTCCACCTTCCTTCAACAAAATGAAACACGAAAATGAGGTCTGAATGTGGTTCCCCATCTCCTAGTGGACAGAAAGATATTTTTTTCCCTTCATCCCTGTCTTCAAGTGGCATGCCAAAACTCATGTCTGTGGATGATTTTTGTTCTGTGTGTGAGTGTGTGTGTGTGTGTGTGTGTGTGGTTGTGGTTTTTATTTGTATTTATTTTTTAAGATAGGGTCTTGCTTAGTCACTTAATTGTCCTCAAATTCATAATTTTTGTGCCTTAGCCACCCAAGTACTGGACAGGTGTGTACCATGTTGCCAGGCAATCAATTTCCCTCCCTCTCTCCCTTTCTTCCTCCCTCCCTCCCTCCTTTCTCTTTCTTTCTTTCTTTCTTTCTTTCTTTCTTTCTTTCTTTCTTTCTTTCTTTCTTTCTTTCTTTTTTTTTGCTATCTGTCTGTCTCTCTTCTAAAGAATAGTGTAGAAGAGATGGAGAAAGAGAAACTATGAGCTGTACAAAGGAATTGAGAAGTGGTTGTTAGGTTAGGCTTTTTTGTTTGGCTTGCTGGGCTGTGAATGATGTTCAAATATCTGGGCACACACAGCATATTAATCAAACTCACACAGAATTCCAGTGCTTAGCTTA